ACACACACACATACACACACACACACACATTATATATATATATATATATATATATATGTGTGTGTGTGTGTGTGTGTGTGTGTGTGTGTGTGTGTATATGTATATACATATATCCACATGAGTGTGTATGTATATATATGTGTATATATACATGGATATGTATATTTATGTATATAGATGCCAATTAATGGTTTCTAATTTTTTGCATTGTGTGTTTTTCTACTATAGTATCTGCAAGGAAGAGTGTTTTACCATCCCTATGTGAGCAAGCATGGCTACACAAGCATACAAATAAGATAACGACTTTTCCCCTTCAGAATGCTCTTCCGTTTCCGGCCGAGTACGGTCGTCATCCCCAGCGCACAGTTCCTGGCAACGTTCACTTCCAACTCGAGGTTCACGTGGCGAGGCTTCAATCTCCGGCTTCAAGTGAAAAGCGACACGGGCTGCCACCAGGTGCGATTCCGGTTTTATTCTCCTCTTATTTTTTATCTTTTTTTCATCTTCATGCTGTTATTATATGGATTATTCATACATAATTTAAAGGGATGTCTTGAGTTGCTCTAACTTATATATATATATATATATATATATATATATATATATATATATATATATATATATATATATACACACACACACATACACACACACACACACACACGCGCGCGCGAGCACGCGTGTCTGTATATACACATGTATATATGTAAGTATGTAGGTATATGTATACATATATAAACATATACATATATCCATGTATGCATGTGTATGTATGTACATGTATATATATATGTATATACACACATAGATATACATATACATATATATATATATATATATATATATATATATATATATATATATATATATATATATATATATATATATATATATATATATATATATATATATATATATATATATATATATATATATATATATATATATATATATATATATATATATATATATATATATATATATATATATTACACAGTACACTTCTCCCTCTGCAGAAACTTTCAGCGACCAACGGAGGCGTCATCACATCTCCCGGATTCCCTAACGCACATCCTCGCGGAACTTACTGCGAATGGCACATCACTGTACGTATCCTAAGGCGTCTCTCTCTCTCTCTCTCTCTGGTCTTTCTTCCTCGTTCCCGTCACAAAATGTCCATAAAAGGTAACACGTCTAGAAAGAAGGAAAGATAGAAAGAAAGAAAGAAAAAGTTCAATCTCAAAGAATGCATCTTATCATTCCTTTAAAAATCTTAAACACTAGTTGTTCATTTCAGTCTCATTATCATGTTTATAGCCATTTAAAGTCATTTATAATCCTTACGTTGTCTTAATTACCAAATGCCAATTCTTCATCTCTTTCATCTCTTTCTTGATCATTCATTGTTCAATCCCATTTAACTCTATATAATCGTATCACTTTCTTAATCGATTCAATCCTACATAACTTTTTTTTTATAATTCTATCACTATCTTGATCACTAAGTGTCCAATCCCATCTCCATGTTCTAAAATACTCTCCATTACTAAGTGTCCAATCCCACTTGACTCCATTTAATCCTAATTTTCCTGACCATCAGTTAATCAATCCCACCTAACAGACTTTACGACCGTCCAGTACTAACCCGCCTTCCTTTTCGCCCAGGCATCGGAGGGGAAAAAGGTCCTGATCGACGTGACGCATCTAAGGATTCGGTTCTCCAACTTCCTGGCTGTGAATCCCACTACCGAGCTCTATTACCGTCGTGACAGCGTGATTTACCTGCCGAATCGCTGGGCTTCGCGGCAGATCGTCTCGTCTTCGAACCTCATGAGGATCTTCTTCGCGGGGAAATACGGATCACGTGGATTCAGGATTGAGTACAGCGAGGTCGAAGACATATAAGGATCAGGGGAGAGGAAAAACAAAAGAGGATCTGAGGAAACGGAAAATAAAGAAGGAGCAGAAGAAAGGGAAGAGAAATGAGAGAGAAAACAAGAAAAAGAAAATGAAAAATAATAAGGTTAATTGATGTTCGGTTTCATGGCCTCTAAAGATCCATACCGCAGACCACAACATCTATTTTATTTATTAATGTTTCTATTATATATATATATATGTTTTTTTTTTTTGGGGGGGGGGGGATAGGGAATGCACCTGCTTGTATATGAATTTATTTTTATCTTTTCCTTCGTATTCCGTGCTTCTTCATTTCCCATTTTCTAATCTCTCATCCACCCAAGTATTCAGATCCAGATCCAAAATAAACAGACTGAGCAATATCGTTTTTTTTTTTTTACCTTTGTCAACAGAAATGGCAGTCATATTTGTATCGTTAAAGTGTCGTTCTTACAAGGGAACGGATCCGCACTGTATTCATCACGCGTGTTCCCTGGCTTATATACACAGGTTCGGTTTTAGAGCATCAGTTTAATATAATAATCAATCTATTTCATTCATTCAAATAGATAGGAATTTGGAATTTCACAAGTTATATCTT